CTCCCGGGCAGCATCCCTGCTAGGTGTGATCCCCTCAGGCCCTTTGCGCTTCCCTGACTCATCGCCTGGGTGAGCTGGTCTGGCTTTTGGGAGACCCTCCATACGGATGCCCTGTCGGGCCCTGCCTCTCAGGTGGGAGCCTCGGCCTCAGATTGTCACTTGGAAAAGTCTTCTCAGAGCTGCCGGGGATGCTCCACATTCTCCTGCCCTAAACAAAAGATGAAATGAGCGTATGGCGCTGTTCACCTTTGATCTCTAAATAAAACCTGCGTATATTGCAGAGCTTCCAGGTGTAAATCTAATCCACATGCACCTGAAGACCTGTTCAAAGCCACTTAACTAGCAGCGCTGCTTGAGGGCATACTCAACCTAAACGCTTGTCCCAACCCAAGCTGTCTAGTCACTAACTTAGAAAGCTTTTTCAAGCATCTTTTCAGGAAGAAATGCTGGAGTAAATCAGTTACAGCTTACCTTTCAGATAAGTTTGCTCTCTAGAGAAACCCAAACTATAAAAGTTACTGAAATGCTTTTGGGGAGTTGCTCTTGGCTATTCCGGGAGACCTCAGAACTGAAACTGCCTTCATAAAGTGGTAAAGAATATAACCATCTGGAAGGGACCTTGTAATTGTAAGTATTTTGGCAGGGTAGGAGTTTGTGCTGCTTTGCCGTATGGCCTTGTGCCACTTCTGGCTACCAGTTGGATTCTTGTCTCTATCCTGTCATTGAGACGGACCCCAGGAACCTTACATATGTGGTGCCTGTTGTCACAGTTGAGCAAGTGCCTCTTGCCAGCACTTGCTGAGTGGAGGTTGCCCTACCATTAATAAGCCGCTCAGCTGAAATTAGCTGTTTGAGACTGTATTCCTCATTTATACACGCACACACCCCCAGAGTTCAACAGGAGGAGTCAGTTCGTTCATCAGAACTTATATTTGCAGTGGGAGTATGTGAACTTCTAGGTTGCATTCAAGGTTAATGTAGATACACCAACATTGTGACTTACATAAAAGCATGCACATAAAATCCACAGGCAAGTGTTGCACTAGTGGCAGTGACTGACCTTGGATGTTGTACATAGCGGCAGGGGAACAGCCTGACTTGACTTGTTTTTTTCCGAACTTCTAGGGCTTTGCTCAAGTTGGTGGGCACTGTTCCAGAAGGCAATGGACCATGCCAGAGCAGCGATCTCTAACTTGGTAAGCTGCAGTCCCCCTGTTCTATTTGCCTCTTGGTGGGCTGACGATACTGCAGCAGAAAAGTTCAGCAACATCTATGTCTATCAGAAGATGACACATCCAAAGCAGTGTTAGGTGCTCCTGTGTGGGTTGTGAGCCAAATGTCAGTGTAGCTAGCTGGCCATGATAAGAAGGTTGCTTAAGCAGTTCAGTGATGGTGGGGTTATCGTTAACTGCTGTGGTGTCTTGGGTGTCTCAGGAAGCTGATAAGGGGGTGGGAGGGGTGAGCCTTGAACAATGTTCCAGGAGGAAGTGCTGCTGAGGAAGCTGATTAAATGCCTATCAGGACAATCAACATGTGTTCTATTATGTTACTTTGGGGGTGGGAATTCAACCACAAGTCCAGCCTTTGAATGTGACTTGTGCTTTGAAACAAATGTGCAGGAGGAGGTAGCTCTGAGCTTGCTCTGCCAAGCTCACTGGTCCTAGAGAGCTTGGGCTGTGAAATGACCCTAGGCTAGGACTGCAAGTGTGCTGGTTTGGTCTCTGAACAAGCATGGAGGATATGTGGGGTTGAGGCACATCCTCTGCAAAAGACAGTGAGGGAAGCCAAGCTATCAAGCAGCTGAGCAGGGAGACTGCTAGGACAGACTGCAGTGTTGCCCTCTCTGAAATGTGAGCAGCCAGCCGCTTCATTGCGGGCAACGCGGGCCAGAATAGAACTGCAGATCTGAAATGACATTGGTTTATTTTTGACCAACCAAGCTGATATCTGGTCTCTTTGCCTCCAGCCACTGACTTGTAGTTTGAGACTGAGCTGAGAACTGTGGATGAGCTGCTGAGACTGTAACAGGGCTTGGGTTCTTGCCACCAGATGCTTTTCTAGTACAGTGGAGAGGGGCTGCAGGGCTGTCGCTCCCAAAACTATTCCTCTGCCTTGTAGCCAGTCTCCTGTCTGTCCCTAGCACAACTGTGGCTGCAATCAAGTACAGCAGCTCTAATGGAAATTCAGTGGCTCTGCTTACTGCCTGACTACACCTGGAAACTGAGTTTAACTGTTAATCTGAGCGACTGCCTTGCGCCTGGGCTGCTGTTCTGTGCGCAGTTGGATTGTGCATTGCAGGTGTTTAGGAGGGCAGGCTCCAGACTGGAAGCTGCTCTGCTTGGGCACTGATAAACACCTGTCAGATGGTGCCAGTTGCTGGTGGGTGTGGGAGGGAGGTGTATCCTCAGTTTTCATGTTAGCTGAGGTGGCAGGATTCCCAAGGGTCATCTCTGTTCAGCCTAGCTGCTTTATAATACTCATCAATGGGATAATTTAAGAGTAGTCTATGACAGTTTAATACAAGATTACTTAGATACTGGATGAGAGTACTTACATCAAAGTGGATGTGACTCAAAGGTATAACCATGGAGGTGGTGTCTTCACTTTCCTCTGTCCTGATCAAAGTTCCCTTTTGTGCGAGTTGCACGTGTTCAGATCAGATCAGTGCACTCTGATTAAGACCAGGAGTTTCTGCTTCAATAAGCCTTTGTCATGGGGTTATGTGGGAAATACTAACGCCATTGGCTGTGTCATAGAATCACAGGATCATTTAGGTTGGAAAAGAGACCTTTAAGATCATCAAGTCCAACCGTTAACCTAACAGTGCCAAGTGCACCACTAAACCATGTCCTTAAGTGCCACGCCTACACATCTTTTAAACACCTCCAGGCATGGTGACTTAACCACCTCCCTGTGCAGCCTGTTCCAATACTTGACAACCTTTTCAGTGAAGAAATTTTTCCTAATATCCAACCTGAACCTTCCCTGGCACAACTTGAGGCCATTTCCTCATCCCATCACTCCCCACCTGGGAAAACTGATATCCACCTTGCTACAACCTCCCTTCAGGTAGCTGTAGAGAGCAACAAGGTTCTCCTTGAGCCTCCCCACCTCCAGACTAAACAACCTGAGTTCCCTCAGCCCCTTCTTACAAATCCTGCGCTCCAGACCCCCCCACTGGCTCCATTGTTCTTCCCTGGGCACCCTCCAGCACCACAACGTCCTTCCTGTAGTGAGTGGCCCAACATATCTGTAACAAACTCCAAGCTAGACTCTGACCAGTGTGGCTCTGAAGTTGTGCAGGGCAAGCAGGTGCTAAATAGACTCTGGAGACGCCGAGTGGGGGGGGTTTGGAGGGCAGGATTTCAAAAGCAGCCAGACTGACTTATTGACAGCCAAATGCTTGGGCTGTGCTGGAGTAATTTCAGATGAACAAGCTGTATCTGGTTTGGCACATAGGTGCAGCTGGCTGCAAGGTCTGTAGGCTGGTGTAGCAAACTCTTCCATCACATGACTGTCTTTCAACACAGTTCAGTGGTGAGCCGATGTCATACACGCGCTTCAGCATTGCCCGGCAAACAGATGGAGACAACAGCCATGTGGAGATGAAGCTGTCTGCTGATGATGAGGAAGGAGGAGAAATTGGGAGACCAGAGCACCTGCATGCCAGCACACCTCCTCCATGGAGGAGTGGCAAGAACCTCTGCTTCCTAGTCATAACAGCTGTCCTCCTCCTTTTGATTGGTAAGGAACAGGGGAGGCAACTGCATGAAGTAGACTCTGGTATTGAGCATATCTGAGGCTGTATCGAATCTGTATTGTTACAGGAGATAATTAAAGAGCCTGAATCCAGCCTGCAGTCTCTTGTCACTAGCTCTGAGTATGTCTAGCTCAGATCTATGGTACAGGCTTGGCACAGAGAAGTGAAGTTTGACAGTGGAATTGTGACTTAGCTAAAGGGCAAACTAGTCCATGTGGCAAGTGTACTGGTTTTTCCCTTGATTAACTCCTAACACTTCTCCAGAAATGTGGGTCAACATATCAGTAAAGCCTCTGGTGCTTGTCTCAAGGGTTTTAACACTGGCACTGACCTAAAGTAAGCATTCTCCTTCCCAAGTGGTGCTGAATGGACTCTGTCAAGCCCAAGACCAGATTTACAGAGTACCTTAAAACATGCCAGCTCAGGCAAAACGTCAGGTTGCATGTTCCTGCCTGTCCTTAGGTACACCAGCTTGTCAAAAATGGTGTGACAGCAGAGATGCATCTTAACCCTGAAGCTGCTTCGAATGCACTTGTATGGTGTGGGGCTGGTTTAGTCAGCTTTCTGCAGCACAGAGAAATACCTGTTCTGTCCGTAGGGTTTCTGATCGGCTACTTGAGTTATCGTGGACGAATGCAGAAGGCTAGCAGGTGTCTAGATGGAAGTGGCAAGTGTGAGATGACTCCTACTGCATCTTACTTAGCGGATGATGATGAAACTGAGGAAGAAGAGGTTCCTGGACCACCTGTCTTCTACTGGCCTGACCTCAGAGCCCTGTTGTCAGATAAGCTGTCAGCTGGACACCTTCAGGACAGCTTGAGGTAACAGTTCAATAAAGCTTAGCTACAGCTATGAGAGAGGCACAGCCTTTGAGCAGAACTTGAGCTCCTTTGGAGAACAAGAGCCTTAAAGCTGTTGTGGGGTGGCATGCAGTTAAACATGGACTTAAATGGCCCATCCAACTTGAGTTTGCAGGCTGGAGCACTGCAGCGCAACCTGGTGCTGTAGCCTAACCTATACATTTGTTACCTACAGGCAAAGAGCAAATACATACTCTTTTGAAGCTGGCCAGAGTGAAGATGAGAGCATTGCTAGCTACATTCATGACCAGTTTACCAGCTTCCGTTTGGATGAAGTGTGGAATGATGAGCACTACATTAAGCTGCAGGTCAAAGGCAGGTACGTTAATGAAGAGATGCACATATCTTCCTTACAGCATGGATATCTGTAGTCTGAGTAAACACGTGATTTCTACTGAAGGCAGTGCTAAAATTGTGAGCCAGTTACCCCTCTCCAAAGAAGGCCTCAATCTTTCTAAGCAGTAGCTGCTCCCGTCTCTTCTCAAGCTTTCTAAATCCAGAGGGTCTGGTAGCAGATTTTTTCCTGGGAGAGCTGTTTCCTCAAAGCATGCTTAGGAGTTGGAGAGAAAACAAACTGGAGTAAAAAGTCAGCGGAAGGGCAGATTCTCTCTGTCCAAAACTGCTAGCGTGAGCAACTCTGTCTTGTCACCCAGACAGGCATTGCAGACCTGGCAGTGGCTCCTATAGTAGCTCAGGAGGGTATCAACAGGCATTGTGTTGGCTGACAGCTCATACCCTCGTGTCTTACTTGCCCCTTCATGTCAGGGAAATGAATTTGCTTAGCTCCTCTTCAGAGGGGACTAAGACTTGGAAGCACAGATTCTTTCTGCTGCTTGTCTTCAGAAGCTAGCCTTCATTCATATCTCTGAACAACCCCAGAGATTCTTGCATAGAAGTACTGGGATGATTCTGCTTGTTTCAGGCTCTGTGTTGACTTGATCAGAATTGCTAGAGTGCAGACTGAAATATGTGAACTTGTTAAATACGGAGTTCATGTATGAAAGAACATAACACTGTCTCTTTACATTTAACAGTAGCAACAACAAAGTGTCTATTCTGGAAGATGGCAAAGAGGAGGAACTGGAGAGTCCTAATGCATATGTGGCATACAGCAAGAGTGGCTCAGTTGTTGTAAGTGGTGGCAATGCCCAAAATGTGTCCCTTCAAGATAAGCAGTGTATAAACCCCTCTTCACTTAGAGCTGGCGGGGGGGGGAAGACACGACAGTGGGGTGCGGGGTGGGCCCACATAGTTTTCTGACTTCAGCCAGATGCAGGAGTAACTGTTTAAACTTCTCTGCTGGGATTCAGACAGGAGCCTTGAAAGAAGTTCCGCTCCAGCAGTCGTGTTGTGTGTGATCAGAGTTTACATTGCTGAGCTTGAATGCCCTACTGTTAACTGGAGTTGCTGTTACTGTGACTCTGTAGGCTGTTTCAAGTATCTTACCGACATAGGACTGCTGCATTTTTAACCAGTGTTTCTGTTCCAGGGCAAACCAGTCTATGTGAACTATGGACTGAAAGCTGATTTTCAGAAGATACAGAAGTGGGGTGTTTCACTGAATGAAACTATAATAATCTTCAGAGCTGGCAAAATAACGCTTGCTGAGAAGGTAAGCAGTCTGTGCCCCAAAGCTTGGCCAAACTTGGCAGCAGGAAGCTATGCTTCCTCCTTTTGAACTGAGGCACAGAGGTGTGTCTTCAGATCTCTAGAACTTGTGTATGTAGGCTTGTCCCTGCAGGTCTGGTCTTGCTTGTTTGCACTAAGCCTCCACGTGCAGGTCTGGACACAGAGACTGAACAGAGCTGATTACTGTTGATGATGGCATTCTTCTTGGCCTCTGGCAGTGTTGCTGGGACAGCCAAGCATCTGGAGTGATGGAGCTGGGAGGCAGAGGCAGGCAGCCTGGAGGCTACAGGTTGCAAAGCTGGCTGGTATTGCTAGATGCAGCAGTAGGACTGCTAGAAGCAGAACAGCCTTGCCTCCAGAGCACCTCTGCTGCTGCAGCCAGATACCTTCAAAGCTTGGCTGCAGTCTCTCACTTGGGCCCTCATTGACTGTTCAGTCAGACCAAGTGAAGGTGCTGGCACTGCGTGCCCAGTCAGCTGCCTTGGGTGTTGCTGTAATGGGCTCTCTGTAGCAAGTAGAACCGAATAGCAAAGCAACCTAAAGGGTCCAAGTCCTGTACCTAAGCCTAGAGTTGCCCCTCAGGTGGGTGCTTGTGGGGAGGCTGGGGCATAGGACTCTTTCCAGTCAGACTCTGCCTGTGTGCATTGGAGACACAGCAATCCCCTTCCTACTTTTCAAACCAGTGTCTAACCGTGCAAGAGTGTACCAGCGGCATATTGGAGGCAGCTGGGTTGTAGGTATTTTAAATGGGGGCCTGACTAGGCCACTCTGCCTTCACTTTCCTCATGAAGGTGAGCCTCCAGTGGCTGCTTATCTTGTCTTGAGACTAACCTAATGTTGGGAAAATGGGTAGAGCATAATAAAAATTAAGTAACGTCTGTCTTCTAAGCTGCTCTGAGGAGCAAGTCTGAGCTGAAGGAATCATAGGGTGGGATGCTAACCATGGAGTGCCCTAACTGTTCAAAAGGGATGTTAGGCACACTCTGCCTGGAGTAGGACTGAGCTGCTAGTACTTGGCTTCCTTGTGTGTCTGTCACTGTCAGGTAGCTGTTAAAATCTGTTGTGGAGTTGAGCAATGAGGAGCACAACCCTTTACACCGTTACTCCATGTACTTGTCTTGACTCCTCGTGCTCGCAGTGCAAGTGTGCAGTTAATGTTACTCTTTGTTTCAGGTTGCAAATGCCAAAGAGGCAGGAGCAGTTGGTGCCCTGATGTACCTGGACCCCTACGATTACAGGAACACAGATGCACTTGTCCCCTTTGGACATGTGAGTATGCAGATAGCTCCCCTGCTTGCTGTTCTTGTGAACCCTTCTTGCCGCGGACTGCAGAATGCTTGGCAGTGCTTTATGCCCTTGTGTAGATGGAAACTTGCACTTCTCTGAGACTTGAGGACTCCTTGCTTTTCACAGGCCCACCTTGGAACTGGAGACCCTTTCACCCCAGGCTTCCCTTCTTTCAACCACACCCAATTCCCACCAGTGGAATCTTCTGGACTACCTCGCATTGCTGTTCAGACTATCTCTAGCCAAGCAGTAGGCAAGCTGTTCAGGTAACTGTTTCTCCTGGCTTGCAGGCTAGGCTGCTGTGGCCCTCTTGAAGGGGGGAGGATGGTGTTGAGGTGCTGTGAGCCCAGAGAGCTCTCTGCTGGTCTCTGCTGTGTATCGCAGGGAGCACTTACTGGAACTCCATCCATTTACTGGATGGAGAAGTGTCACTTGTGTCCATGTCTCATGTCTTAAAGACTGATCTGAATCTAGTGTTGGATTCCTCTTGGCCTCTGCGTCCTATGTCTCCATGCATAATTAGTGGGACAGGACTGAAGCTATTTCCTGAGCAGGCCCCGAACAAGGCTGCACCTGCAGTTGCAGGCTTGCTTTTTCACAGGATAGCTAAATGAGGTCAGAGCTGGATAACGAGTTCAAAGGAGCTCTCTTTTCCTGCAGCAAAATGGATGGAGAGGGATGTCTTCCAGAGTGGAAAGGTGGGGTCATGGGATGTAAGGTGATGCTGAGCCGCACAAGCAAGATGACAGTGAAACTGAGCGTGAACAACGTCATGACGGACAGGAAGATTCTGAACATCTTTGGTGCTCTCAAGGGATTCGAAGAACCAGGTAACAGCAACAGCCTTTTGGCTCAGTCCTGAGTGGAACCATTCCTCTTCTGTGATTATCAGAACATCACAGCTGTTCCCAGACAGACAACCAGTTCCTCAGCAGAACCAAGTCCTGTCCCTACAGGTCAATGAAAAAGCTGAAAATTGCACTGCCAGGGAAAGGCTGAAATGAAAGCAAGCAGTGTGCCAGATTCAGGGGTCAGACTCTGTATTCTGTTCCTAGTACAGAAGGCCAGAGCTGCTTTTTCTGATAAATGGTGTTTGCAACCTGAAGCTTGCAGCTTTTAGATCTTGATGTCTCCTTTATAGATCGGTATGTTGTGCTCGGAGCCCAGAGAGACTCCTGGGGCCCAGGAGCAGCCAAGGCTGGTGTTGGAACTGCCATATTGTTGGAACTTGCCCGTGTCATCTCAGACATTGTGAAAAATGGTAAATACTTGTGTGCAAAAGCATCGGGGTGGGAGGTGATGTAGGTTTAGCTCTATGTGTGTTACCATTGGAAAGCCCAGTTGCAAAATCAACATTTGGGAAGGTGTAGGGAATCTGACAAAGCTTCCTGAGAAGCTATTACTTATCCAACACAGACAACTTGTCTGCAGTGAGCACTTGCTTCCAAGTGCCTGCTTGTGTCTGCTGTGGCTTGAATGCAAGAATGTCCTTGGATAATACCCAATGCAAACCTCAAACTTGACCAGCCAGGTCTGAAGGTGGGAAACACTGAAATAGCTGACAAGCTGGAGCAGTGGGGGCTGCATGGTGGCACTTAGTGTGTGTGCTTTTGTCTCCAAGGTTAATTTTGGGCTCAGGCAGCTAAACAAGAAAGGGGGAAAATGCAGACAATTCCTACATGGCTCTGCAGCATGGGGGTGCGGCATACAGTGTCCATGCAGCCACTAGTGTGCACATTTGTCTGCAGCAGCCAGAATGCTTCAGCTGTGTCTGAGGAGCAGGCGATTCATCAACCCAGGCCCTCAGTGCTAATGTACATCTCCATGGGCGAAGGGCAGACATCTCACTCTCTCTTTTTGCAGATGGCTACAAACCAAGGCGCAGCATCATCTTCGCTAGCTGGAGTGCAGGAGACTACGGAGCTGTAGGTGCTACTGAATGGCTGGAGGTACCGTTTGCTTTATAGACTTCTGCATGATGACTGTGCAGTTGTGATTTCCTGTTCCATCCTGGTGTTGGACTGCTACTGCTTATCTTAAAATCCTTGTTTTGTTCCAGGGGTACTCTGCCACACTGCATGCCAAAACCTTCACTTACATTAACTTGGATGCTGCAGTCCTAGGTAACCTGCTACTCTAAGTTTCTTGAAACTGGGTGGGACCAGAATAGCTTGATAGACATACCTTAGCCTCCAGGAACGGGGGCTGTGCCAGCAGTTGATGGCTGGGTGTTTGGCTGAAGACTGGCATGACTCAATTTATTCTCCTGTTGTCATTGAGGCTGGGAGGTTGCTGTGGCCTGAGCCAGAAGGAGACAGCTCTGCTAGGTCCCAGTAGACTGTCCTGTGTCTGTTCAAGATCCCTTGGCAACAAGCTGTAGATCAGTTGTTGCTTAGTCATAGGGCTGAGCAGCTCTAGCAGTAGTGGTTAATTGTGCCAGCATGTCAAACACCCTTTCTTTTTTGCAGGCTTCAACCACATGAAGATTTCTGCTAGCCCATTGCTGTACACGTTGCTGGAGAGAACTATGAAGGGGGTGAGTTGAAGGGTCTTGGGTTAATCAAGGTGACTGTGGTTTTAGGGAGGAAATGAAAGCAGCCAGAGCTGTGCTGTGTCACTTTGCCCAGCTGGTACCTTCTGAGGAGAAGGGGTTTGAGATACTCTGGAGGGCCCTGTCTGAAGCCAGCTGGGCTCTGGGAATCGCAGTGCATGCATGCAGAATCTAAAATCAGCAAATGCCGTAGTTCGGTGGGAGGTGAATGCCAGTCCTGCATGAATCGTGCCTGTGTGGAGAAAGGTCAGGGGAGCACACCTGACTCTGGCATCTGCACAGCAATGCAAGCTCCAGGATGGACCTGGAAGCCCAAGCAGAGGTCAGAACAAGTGCAGTGACTGTCATCTCTGTGCAGGTGAAGGACCCAACAAAGGATTCGGGAAGCCTGTATGACAGAGTTGGCTCTGACTGGGTAAAAACAGTGTAAGTATTGTCATTCTGCTGTTGAGGAAAGCAAATCTCCATAAAGGACAAACTAAATGGCTTCTGCCCTTTGTTTTGGAGTGTCATACCACTGCCTGGGGCAGGCTCTACCTGCTGCAACGGGATCCGGCAAGCGTGAACAGTAAGACACTAGTTGTACTCAGTGCTGCCCCAAGCTGCCTGTAGGCAGCCCAGACACCTTTTTGCAGGGCAAGAACAGCCTTGTACAAAGACCTGTGGCTGGAAATGGACAAGCAGCCCTCGGCACTTGGCTGGGACTCCTTGCCAAAACCAGTTGTGTCTAGACAGGGTAGTCCAGTTGCCTCAGAGCTTCAACTCTAGGCCTTGTAGCTTTTCTCCTGGGATGTCCAAACCAGCTGGTAACTACTCAATACTTGTTTTTTTGCAGTGTTCCCCTTGGTCTGGATAATGCAGCATTCCCTTTCCTGGCCTACTCGGGAATCCCGGTGGTTTCCTTTGGTTTCTGCAATGTGAGTATTCTCACTCTTCCTGCTGTACTCATTCCACAAAAGGTGCTGTAAGGATATCTGCTCTCAGGATGGCAGAGCACAAGGTGCTGTCCCAAGTTTATTGCACATGCAGGAACCTCTCTGGGGGTGGAAATGCAGCCTTTGGACCTGGTGGTTGTGGCAGTACTTGCTGTGACGGCTGCTACTGGGGCATGGCTGGCCTACAGTCTCTGTTCCAGAGTCCTGAACACTCGTTTTTTTTTTTTTGTTGGGAGAGGGGGTATTCACTCTTCTGGAGGCTCAGATGTCAATTCAGAAGCTAAAACACTAAAAAGTTGTCAAGCTGTTGTTGCTTCAGTGAAAGACTGTACTACAGCCCACTGGTCAGCAAGCAAAATGCACTGGGGAAGCAGTACTATTGGCCAGAGCAAGTACCAACTCAAGGCTGTTCAGGTCTGCTGCTGCAGCTTGGGGCTGGCAAAAATGACATCAGCCAAGCAGCCCGCTCTGTTACTGCAGGCGTGCAGCTAGGGGCCTTTCTTATAACAGCTTCCTCTGCTCATGAATGTTTGGATTTTTAGTGTCAGACTTTTTCCACAAAAACACTTGAGTTATCCTGCCAAGAAGGGTTGGAGGGTGCTGCCAGCCCATACCAAACTGCGTGCTGGGGTTTGCCTGCCTGCATTTCTGCAGTGAACTCTTAGGCAGGGAAACGTCTAGATGCCTTTGGGTCTAACAAACTAGCAGAGCATCCTGCTGATCGCTGGAAACTGGGAGGGATGGGATGCAGGAGCACCATTCCTTTCCCCTGTACTTTGAAGTTTTGCCACTCAAGTCTCACTATTTAGCAGCACGAAGAGATGGGATGTGGTGGAAGTAGCAAGAAAACTGTAGTGGGAGGTAAAAAATCCTAGCTGGTGAAGCACTTTTGCCTAACTTCAGTGCCTTCTTTCTTGCAGAAAGATGAGGAATATCCCTTCTTGGGCACTACTCAGGACACTGTGGAGAACCTGAAGACGACTGACAAGTTATATGCTCTTATGCGTGCTGCTGCAGAAGTTGCTGGACAAGTAGCTCTCAGGCTGACCCATGATCATGAGCTCTTCCTGGACTTTGAGAGATACAGTGATGAACTGCTAGCATTCCAGGAGAAGTTTTTGCCCTACGATCGGGATGTGAAGGTAAGAAACGCTCCGAATGCACTGAATCCCTGTAGGCTGTTACGGGGCTGTGTGCTAATAAGTCTCTGCTGCCATTGGATACAACGGGGTGGACATCTTCCTCCTTTGAGCATGATAAATGTAGCAAGATGTGGCCTGAATCAATGTTCCTTATAGAGCAGTGCAGGCAGAGTAGCTGTGGCAGACAGAATTAGCTAATTTGGCTGTGGTGAGCTCTTGAGGAAATGAATGTGGATGGTTTTTCGTCTGGTTATCATTCACAGCAGAGTACAGCTTTGTATCTCATTTGCACCTCTGCTGAAAGCCCACAAGAAACTGTAGGTGGGGAAGAGATGTCACTGAGCTTAGTGACCTCAGAAGAGTCTGCCAGGAACTCAGTCTGCTACTGGGTTAAACTAGCAAAAAAAAAAAAAAAAAAAAAAAAATCAACACTTTCTCTTGGTAAGAGAGCAGCAAAAGAAGAAAATCAGGTTTGCTAACCACTCCTCCCTCACAGGCGCTGGGGCTGACCTTGAACTGGCTGTTTTTTGCCCGTGGTGACTTCCAGCGAGCTACAGATGCACTGAGAAGAGACATTGCCAACAGTGACCGGGAAAACAGGATTGTCCGCAGAGCCCTGAATGACAGGATCATGAAGGTGGGTATTTACAACTGATTTTCCTTTCTTCATGAAGGAAGAGAGTGCTGGCTGGGATGGGCTTCTTCCTTAGGAGCCATGGGCACTGTGCAGACCGGTATCTCTGCCACTTGTTTAGTGTCAACGTGATGGACTTCTGCGCTTGCTGTTGGGAGAGGGTCTGGCCCTTGCAGAGCTGCTGTGGGAAAGGGCTGAGTGGGGATCAGGCATTGAGAGCTTGTGATGGGGCAGATTAGGAAAGAAAAATTTGGGAGATGAGAGTATAACCCTGAATTTGTGCTTCTGCTCCAGGTGGAGTATGACTTCCTCTCCCCATACCTCTCGCCAAAAGATTCTCCCTTTCGCCACATCTTCTTTGGCAAAGGCTCCCACACCCTGCAGAGCCTGCTGGAGAACCTGCAGCTACTGAGAACCAGCAGGGACAGCGTGGATGTGAACATGCTGAAAGAGCAGCTGGCCCTGGCAACCTGGACCATTAAAGGGGCTGCCAATGCCTTAGTGGGTGATATCTGGGATACAGACAACGAATTCTAGACACGGCAAACACCTGGTTAAGGTACAGGATTAGGGAAACCCACTCCCTAACATGGCATTATTTTTCTGTAGATTTTCTGGCAACAAATCTCTTGACCAAAGTTGAGCATAGAATTTAAATCTCACCTTGACAAATTCACAGGAGGCAGCTTTAAGGCAGGTACTCAGATTACCATGAAATCTCTGACCAGGCTCCCATCTGACCACAGCCAAACTGGTCACGTATGCCTGCTTGTGGGCCTTGCTCTCCGGTGTACTGAAGAACTAACAGCTCAGGTGATTCCTGAACTGGTACCTTGAGTGGGGAGGTACCTCATCTATTTAGGGTTTTAATTGTTGGCCTCCTAAACCTAGTGACAAAATAGAGAATGGATTCCTCTTACTGCTTGTAGTGAGGGTCCCTTCTGTGGCAGGGAGCTGCAGAGACCAACCTGTAGTTCAAAAATAAAACAACATAGTAATAGCCCACAAGTGCTGGATTATCAGCAAGCTCTGAAGTGCCCGGCCTGCCTTACTCAACAGCAGGATCCCAAGGACATCTTGGAGGCTGCCAAGGCAGATCTCGATACCCAGGGAAAATGACCCAAAGATTATCTAGTGCTCCCTTTTATATCTTTAGCTGGCACCTCAGCAAGTCCTGCGGCATTGGGAAATGGCTCTAGACCGGCACTTCAGACCTTGCTGCTCTGGGGCCTTTTGTGAAATCGAGTCTCTTGCTGGCCAAACCCTGTTTGACTGATGCCATTTTGCAGGATGGCTCTTGTTTGGCACTGAGATATTTATTTGTTTATTTATTTATCAGTGACAGCGTTCACTATAAATGGTGTGTTTTTTTATAGAAGATAATTATCGGAAGCAGTGCCTTCCATAATTATGACAGTTATACTGTCGTTTTTGAATAAAGCAGCATCTGCTATTACAATCAAACATGATACTGGAACTTTGCATTTAAAATAATTTAAACAGACCTCTCCAAAAAAAGTTTTTGAAAACTAGCAATTAAGCTTTCTGTGGCAAAAACACCCCTCTGAAAGAAACCTGAAGGTGTAAACCTGGTAGCAAGTTTCTGGCTTGCACTCCAAAATGATCCTTGAAATGCTGAAAACCTGGGTGGAAACTCAAATACGAAAAATTTGGCTTCCCTGCAGTGTCTGTGCCCCTCTGTGGGCTTTGGACTCCCTTTTCACCCCCTCTCTGGATGCTGTGTGCTCGCAGGGGGAGCACAGCTTCCTTCCTGGCCCTGGTGGAGGGGCTCATGTAGCCCTACCTCTGCCCGTGGCAACACACACAAACTTCTTGTACCTCAGATTAGGCATTGGCCCGACTTTTAAATGGCAGCTTCTTGCAAACTTCCAGTACCTTATGTATCATGAAACCTAACTGACATTATCGGGGGCAGTGTCTTCCATAATGTGTAAAGAACAAGGTAGTTTTTGCCTACCACAGTGTTATATCGGAGGCAGTGACCTCCATATGTTGCACTATGGGTGTACGTAATTATCGGGGACAGTGTTTCCCATAATTGTTCTATGCTTATCATGCAATGTCATCTGCAAAGCTTGATGGTTAGTATCTAACATGGATCAATTTCCTGCAGTCCTATTTTTTCACTCTCCTGTGGTGATGCAGATACAAACTTAAGTCTGTTATGTACTTCCGTAGACTCTACCTTCTCCGTAGGCTAAACTGTTTCAAATAGCTGTGCTGTCTTGAAGTGGCTTCCTGCCTCCAGTCACAGGACTGGTGCTTGAATGTTTAGTGGAAACTAGGCTAGTTAGACTGTGTGCTCTCTCATTAGTAAGCTTCCTTCAAATCAGCTACAAAGACTTGGGGAATTAAAGGTGAATGTAGGGCTTGGGGCTGACTGCTGTCTGAGGGGCTCCGGTCACTTGCTGGTGGGTGTGTGTAAAGAGGCTGGCCTGCTTTAGCGCTGGGGTGATGCTGGCATGGGAAGCTGTTTGTTCCCCAGGTCTTGCTGGAAACTCCAGTCTTGCCACCTGGGCATTGTGTGGAGGGGGAGAAATTGGCAGCACTTTTTTCACGGTGCCCCTCTGCTCCCTGACCTGAAGCTGAGCCCTGCTGCTGTCCCGCCTGTTCCCAAAGAGCAGC